TCCCCGTGATGGCTACGCCCCCACCACCGGTGGAAAATCCCGCACGATCGAACGAATCAGCCGCTTTACTAGAGCTAACCAAAACACTGGTAAACTTGACTCAAGAAAGCAAAAAGGAGCAGCGCGAACACAATGCTCGAATAGAATCGATGATGAGATCGGTGCGTCCCATAGCTGTACGAGCTGCCCCAATACAGCAGGGATTGGCTCCCGTCCCCGCAGCCGGAGGTGTTGCAGGCAATCTGAGCGTTTGCTGCACGTGTCATCAATCAGGACACATAGCCTGGGATTGCCCCCACCGACCCACGCAACCGCGAGTTAGGGCCGCCCCAGTAGCTGCGGCACCAATCACCAATGGGTCGGGAAGGGTAGGAGCGATGCTGGAAGAGATGGAAGGAAGTATGTTAGCCACTATGGAAGAAGCTGCAGAGCTTATTCCGCTAGATCAGTATGTGACATTAGGATATCGGGGGTTGGGAATGATAGGGACTATTAGACCCGCCCAGGAACAGCGAGAAGTGGCAGAATGGAGACCCTCCCTAGGGAAATAGATGTTTTGAACATCGTCCACGCTCTGGATCACCACATTCCCCTCCCAATCGGACATTTGTTTTCCATTTCGGAACAGACTAACGAACGCATGCTGCAACACTGCAAGGCGAACAGGAAACGATTCACTTTTGCGAGAACGGTGAACACAAAAAAAAAGCCCCTGCTCAAGAGGACAATCCGAACCCTGCTAGTACGACGGAACCTATCCGATTGGGACTAATACAGAAGAATGATCATTTCCTGCGGATAAAAGCAATCCCGTGGAAATCCGCTGAATGTGACATCGAAGTCTGTGGAATTCCGTACAATGCCATCATCGACTCATGAGCCGCAATCTTGGCTATCTCGCTAAGAGTAGTGGAAAGAGCGGGAAGAAGAAAAGACATGATCATGCTTGCGGAGAAAGATCATCTCGTCTTTGCAGACGAAGAAAAGATTTAAACAGTAGGGCGAATGACGAACGTCGCTTTTCGGTTAGGAAAGGTACATGCCCTTGGAGATGTCGTAGTGTTAGATGTAAGCACCTACGACGTTCTTTTAGGATTACCAGCTCTCACGGCGCTGAGAGCCAATCTGGACTTTGAAAGACGATCGATTGTCCTCCGAAACACGGGAGGAAAATCGTACGCCATACCCATGAGACTGACTCTCGAACCATGGCGGACGCAGCCCCGTGATCTCCTTCAATAGGAGCCCTCCGAATGATCACATGGAAAGATCCCGCGGAGTGTAACAAATCCCGGATAGGGAAACGGAAAGAGAAACGGGAACTCTCGAGTGATACTGATGACAGTGACGAGGAAGATCTAGTGGTCCGAGAACTAGCCCAACAACGCATTTATTACCCAGCTCGACGAACGATTGCGAGATCGTTCAGCATAACAGAACGAAACCTAGAAAGGACACGTGCAATGATCTTGGGAGAGCCTCTCGTACAAATTTCCAGGATGGTCGATTCTTTGGAACCTCCTTGAACACTGTGCGAAGGCGTTTCCCCTCTTCTTGCAAGATATAACGACAAGAGACATTTTTGTGATATCACAAACTTACCCCGTTCCCTGTTACCTCCAGGGAAAGAGGTAAGATTGTCACGCTTAGGGGTCGAGGCCGACTCTTTGGAACCCCCTGGGCGTCCCGAAGTCGAACCCAAAGGCCTTAGAATCAAGATCGCGGAAAAACCCATGCGATGGCAGGACATCCGCGATGGTGTGACCCTGGAAGAACACGTGGCAATTCGGGAAGAAGATGCGCAGATGATGGCCACGGTGTTTTCCTGGCAATCGGATAACTCCTTCATTTCCGCACCCCCTCCCGGAAGCGCCGCACGAACGAACACCAAACAGATCTCCGTTCAGATACTTGACCAAGTGTATGAATTACATGTGCCACAGTACGTGTCAGACGAAATCCACCACCTAATCGCGGGCATTTTAAGGGAATATCAGGGAGCGATTACTGTGACCGATACGGATATCGGCCTATCGTTAGTGATTCAGCACGAAATCCAGACCGGAAACCACCCTCCAATCCACTGCAAACCATATCGATACTCCCTCGCAGAATGAAAGACAACTCTACAGAGGATTAGAGAATTCGAAGCTAACGGATGGATTGAACCCGCCATTGGGCCATGGTCGTTCCCGGTCGTATTAGTGCCTAAAAAGAATGGGTCAGTCCGCATCTGCATCCATTATCGAAAGCTGAATGATATCACGATCAAAGATGTATAACCTCTCCTCCGGATTGATGATTTGTTGGATGCGATTGGATGTGCTAATTACTTTAGTAAGCTCGATATTCGTCATGGATTTCACCATATCCTGGTTAAGGAGGAAGACCGGCCAAAGACCGCTTTCGTTTTGTTCGAAGAATCGAAGGCACGTGGCAGTGAGTTCGGTGTCCGATGGGAATCTGCAACGTGCCAACTACCTTTCAAAGAGCGATGAACGTGACGTTCCAAAACTTTGTCAACAAGACTCGGTTAACGCAGGGGATGATTAATTTTTGCGTAATCGTGTATATGGACGACATCCTCGTCTACTTGGAATCATACCACGGACATGCACAACACATCGAATGGACGTTGGGAGTGCTGAGATACGCCGGATTCAAGATTGTGCTGGAGAAAAGCGAGTTCTTCCTTTCGAAAATCTCGTTCTTAGGCTACGTGGTGACATGGGGAGGCTTGAGGCCCGATTCGAGAAAAGTCGCGGCCGTCAGAGACGCTCCAATTCCCACGTCGCAAACGCAGGTTCGCGCCTTCATAGGACTCGCATCGTATTACCGTCGATTTATCAAGGGATTCGCTGCTATCGCACGACCGCTAACAAACCTGCTACAAAAGGACCAGTTTCTCAATTGGGACACGGAGTGCGAAGGACCTTCATCACTCTCAAGGAAGCCTTGGCCATGACACCTATTTTGATCCGACCGGACGCTGCGAAGCAGTTCATTCTCATTACAGATTGACAGCCCGAAACAATCTCCGTTATTATAACACAGAAGGGGAAGGACGGTCGCGAACACGTCATCGAGTACTGGTCCCGTACCGTGTCGGACGAGCGAAGGAATGATTCAACTCCCCAAGGAGAATGCTATGCGGTGGTCTGGGGAATCCAACACTTTCATTCGTATCTTTACGGGCAGAAGTTCCTCCTCGTTACCGACCACGAGCTGCTATTGGCCCTCAAGAGACTTACTAACTATACAGGTATGATTGGACGTTGGGCGGTGTGGTTACAAGAATACGATTTCGATATCATCCACCGGAAGACGGAGAGGCATGGGAACGCGGATGGGTTGACACGATTGCATCGTCCAACGAAGGTCGCCAAAGGCGAAGAGATCATCCTGTGGAAAGAACCAGAGCCAACGAGCGGGCCCCGGTACGGACAGGTGTCAGTTCTTCCATGTAACAAGAAGCAAGCACGTGGCAATAGGTGACGGAGGTAACTCTAGAGCCCCTCTCTCTCCTTCCTTCACATCTCTTCTCCCTCTACCTGACAAATTTTGTTATTTTTGCGAAGCAATCTCGCGAGTCTACTTTGTCCCTATGCATCCTAGTGGGGAGGGGTACGCCGAATGGGTAGATTGTCGACAGTGCGTATCGAGAGCCCATGGCTCTTACATCTAGTATCGAAGCGGCAATAAGCCTTCATTGTGCCCCTGTGTCGAACCGATAAAATCCTGACCGAGGCTCGGTTCCTCGATGCCACATCAGAGGGTCTGGAAAAGACCAAAAGGTTTAGACGGGCTGAAGTCTGGACCGGCGTCGTTTTGATAGCTATTGTAGTAGGGAACCCCCTCCGAGACTTCACTAGGGAGGATCGGAGGAGGGCTAATGAGAGGGCTCGGGACTATTGATGGAACGAGGGTCGATTGGAAAAACGAAAGACGGACGGTAGTGGGATATGGATGACTGTACCATATCCGTTCATGAGGTATGATTGGGTTAAGTCAGCTCATGAGGAAACTGCGGCCTATTTCGTCGTCCGAATCAGTGAGATGGCGATGGACAAAAATGAATGGTATTGGTCCAATATTCGCGACGATGTTAAGTTCATCGTCCGAAATTGTCAGGTTTGTGCCGCTGACAAGGCGTCGATTCAGCCGCCAAGATCGATAATCCCGACTGTCGTCGAACGACCATTTCAAAGAGTTAGCATGGATACTATCGATATAGTGCTACCTCCTGGACCAAATAGCTGCGAATATTTTTATTGGTATTGGTGGATCACTTTTCGAAATGGATCGAGGCGTATTCATGCAAAACGTGACAGGCGGCAGAATTGCGTGGTACGTCAACCGTTTTCTCGGGATGCACCAGGACGCAAAAGAGATCTTAACCGACAACGGGGCATAATGTAGAGGGGAAGTTTTAAGGAATCTGGTCCTGCACGGTGTCGCCATTCGTAATACTGCACCCCACATGTCACAGTCTAATAGGCTGGTAGAAAACGCGAATCGGGTGATTAAGACGGCTCTGCGACGAAATATCGCGGCTCAGGATACGAGGCCTTGGCCTAATATCGTAGATCACATCTTGGTGGTCCATCGAGGAATGCCCCATGAATCTCCAGGCTTCACCCATTTTCAATTGCGTACCAATAGCTTGGCATGCGTCTCGATACCGAGTCTCTACGATGAATCGGCCCTGGGGCGACGGCCTACGAGGGCCACGGTCCGGGACAAGGCCAAACGACACTTGGAATTGATGGAACAGTCCCTTCCCCGACTGGCCCGAAAGCGCCAACGGATGACTGAATTGGCCCACGGACGACAGGTTCGTAGCTATGAGGCCCGAAATGGGAACGCGGATCCACGGTCGCAGTATAAATTGGGGGACATGGTGCAGGTGAGGAAATGTGCTCGCCAAGGGAAGTTAGCGCCACGATTCTTTGGGCGATTTCGCGTGGTCGAGCTCGGCCCGAACGCGGTGAACACGGTGCGGCTGGCGCCCGAGGTCTCAGGCAGCCGATCGGCTCGTCCAATCGTTCGCCACGTGTCCTGTTTGTGTCCCCTCCCTACCTCCCCATCTCCCTCTTCGTCTGCTTCCTCCTTCGACGTCGAAGAGGACGATAACTGTCTAGCCCCCCCCTCTCCTTTGTCAGCAACTCCGTCCTCGCCTCCATTGCCATGAGCTTTTCGGTGGAGCAGCCAATTAGTGCGCAGTTGACGACCCCAAGGGGGCGAGTTGCGATAATCCGGCAAGTACAACGGCCCCAACTCAGCCCTGACCTTCTTCGATTTGCGGCCTTCTTCAGCACGGCAGCGATCCACGCGGCAACCGAGTTTCGATTTGCGCAGGCGGGAGCGACACTTGTACTGGCCGAGATCTCGGCCTTTCGGCGCCTGTCTCTGTCCGGGGCCAGCCACGTCTCCATCATCATCGTCTTCACCGTGGACGTCACCGCGATACCTTCAGAGATCCACGCAGACATCTTCCGCACCTTGAGGGCTTGGGGAGAAGAAGTTGCGGCCGCGTGGACGGCGCTCCTGGCTTGTCGGGGAGACACGATCGTGACGTCTCACGACAACGATCTCCAACTCCGCTCTTCCAGCTGTTCGCCGTTGATCTTGCTTTCGGAGCTTCGTCCTTTTGCGCCGCCCCAATGAGTCGTCTTCGTCTTTCCCTCTTCGGTCTTCCTTCCGATCTCCCCACCTTCTGGGAGTCTGCTCGCGCCCCCACCCTCTCTTTCTGCATCAAGCCGCTCAGCGTGCCGATCCTGAATGAAGATAAGTGGAAGGATTGGTGGGACGCTTACCTGGAGCTTAGCTTCTGCCTCGTGGAGGTGATCTTTCATTGGTCCGAGCCAGTGCCTTGAGGGGAAGGGACTGAAGTCCCGAATGATGAAGTGGAGCTGCTGATCGCGCAGGCCTGGCGCACAAAAACGCAGGGAGAGCTGCTAGGCATAGTGCTTGGCAAGGTGGAGGAGGGAAATCTCGCCCTCATCACGAGCGAGCTACTGGTGTTCTTGGCGCAGCTAGTGGACGATCTGCCTCTTGACATCCTATCAAGGTGCGACAGCAAGCCCGACCCTGACGTACTCCCCCGCACGCTTACGGCTCATCTACTGTGGTCCACGTGCACGGAGTTGGATGTGGACAACTGTCTTTACCTGTCCCAGGATCTCTACCTGGAAATCAACTTGACCGATCTTGTGCTGTGGGACCCCGTCATCCGGCGAGCAAACGCGTGGGCCGCCGCCAACGAAGACGAAGACGACGACGACGACGACGACGACGACGACGACGACGACGACGAAGAGAAAGAAGAAGAAGAAGAAGAAGAAGAAGAAGAATCGCGCACGGATCCGGATGATTCCGACTATCTCGGTAAAGAAGAGACTGAGGAAGAATTAGAGGAAGAGGAAGAGGAGGAAGACGAAGAAGAGGAGGAGAGCGAGCCCGAAGAAGCAGGTGATCGGCCTAGGCAAAGTGAGGAAGAAAGAGAGGCCGAAGCGCAGAGACGACGAGAAAAGGCGGAAGGCAAGCGACCGATCAAGGAAGGCCCCCCGCATGAGCTGCTGTTGGGAGACCCGTCGCTCAATCCGGAGCCGCCGCGCGAGGAGCCCGAAGACGATGGAGCTGCCGCCGAGGGATCGGGGAGCCGCCGCCGCAGGAGGAGTGAATCGTCAGCTTCATCCCTTTCCCCACCCCGCCATACCCTTCGCCTTCGTAGAGATGCGGGCGATTGGGCTTCGTCCCCGGTCATTATCCCGCCATCCCCATGATTACATGATGGTCCGCCAACTCCCAGGACGACCTCCTTTTCCCGATGAATGGTGTCCTTTCCCGCCCACCCTCTTCCATCAACTCTACGCCACGCGTCTCCAGATCACCATCGTCCCACACTGAGCACACTCTACCACTCACTCCCTTGTCGATTCCTTCCTTCTCCACATCCTTCTCTTTAGCATGAACTAGCGGGAATAAAATAACATAGAAGTTTATTGTGTTGTCTCGGGTACGATCTCCTCCTGCGAGAACTACGAGAATTTCCTCACTGCCCTCCGTTGTACCATCTCCACCTTCTATCCCGACTACCTCGCCTTGCTTCCCCATCAACACGAGTACCCTCGTTTCCCTCACATCCACCATTCCATCCACTACACTCCTCTTCACGCCCTCGGAACCCAGGATATCCATCGCTTCATGCCCCCTCTTCCCCAAGATCCCCCACCACCTCCTCCAACCGTAATTAGATTGCCCTTCCTCGGGAATCTGTAGGATAGAGCCCACGAATGCCACTATTTGATGACTTCCGCACTGTTATCTTACGGTAAGTGGCACGTAGAGAGCTCAACGTCGTCGATCGATTAGACAGGTCGACACGTGTCGAAGAATCAAACAAGCAGGAGCTTGCTCAAGATTGGAACCCCCTGGGCGTCATATATGTGACGAACTACTTTCTGTCATCGCGCGATTTTCTGCATCGGGCTACTGGGAGGGGGAAACGACAAGACAAAGGGGTGAGTTGTGGATCGGTTGGGCAAGTTGCATGGATACCCTCGCTTCTTTTTCGTTTTTGTTGGAATTCGTTGAGCCAACGTCGGGAAAGCCCCGCGCCGACGATTGGATGGCGACGCCATGACGGGCGCAAGAAATGACTGTACCATAGTTTCTTTCTTGTTTTGCTATAAGCACTAGGAATTTTGGCGCGATTAGCGCGAGGGATTTTCATTTTCAAATTTCTAACTGATGTCGAGCCCCCGCGGGCTCTCGAAATTGTTTTTTTTCTCGAAATTTCCTTTTGCAATTAGGACTTAGACTAGGAATTTAGGCGCTCTGAATTTTGTTGCGCAACGTTTGCACGCATCTTGTGGCACAAGGAACTGGGTTCTGACTAAATCGCGCCTTTAATCTTGTGTAACGGTCGTTTTTGGCGGGCGCGATTGCAACTGTAATCCTTCTTCCTTCTTGATTCTCCTATGCTGCCCGCCTTCTTCCTTCTCCTTTCTCGTCTCGCATACTCTGTTCTAATTGGCCGCAACGCCTGCATGACTGGATCAATGCGTGGAGAGCGGCTATGACCCCCGCGGAGGCCTGGCCATGCAGACGTAGGCACTTCCTCTCTTCTTTCCCTATCCATCTGAGCTTAATCCCGTACCTTTCGCGCAGGCATGCATGCTATAAATTCCGCAAGCGCGATTCTCTAAGAATTTCGAGGTTAGCGTGATCAGTGAGGGTCGGCTAACGAGCAAGTTGGAAGGTGAGTGAGTGTGAGAGTTGGGCGACCCGACGAGCTGGTGCCAAGTATGCGGGGTTGACGTGTAGGCCACGATGGACTGTGGCGCACAGGCGAACCTGACGGGCGTATGCGGGCTAAGCGGGGTTACAACTCTGTGTGGATATGCAGCGACAGACTATCGGTATCGTGGGTATTGAAGCGCGACGACGGACTGTCCGCAGCAGGAGAGAGAGAATGAGAGAGAGAGCAGTGGTGTGGATGTGGGATATGGCTTCCTTTTGTTGTTCCTTTCATTCCCTATTCGGTCCATCTGTATAATTTTGAGTTCTGATAGGGCGGATCTCTTTATCACGGCCCTTCTCTTTCGAACTTCTTTTGTATATTGTTTCGGATTTTCCTTGTTGTTTTGCTCGGTATGTGTGCATGAAATGAATGTAGGATCTCTTTGAGCAATCTTTTCGATATGTTTTCACGATGCGTGTTGTCTCTGACCAGTGTTCGCCTACGTGAGATATGCAATCAGGCCTGATGAGGAATGCTCACTTTGGATGTCTGGAGTCTAACTGACGATTTTTGCGTCACCTATATGGCATGTAGTGATTGGTAGGATAATTGCATTTACGGTTGAATGCGACCGGCACACGGAACCAATCAGTTGTTTCTTACGTACACGTGTCCGTACGATCGCGATCTCGAGAAAACCGAGTCGCCACGTATGCACTCGCCTGCGTAAGTCAGCCTTAACCTTGCGTAAAGATGTGGGGGATGCAGCTTGCTAAACCGACGTGGCTGCGCAGCCTCCTCCCTATACGTCAAAACTCTGAGGGATCCGGAATATCGTGAGTATTGGGAAGGCGAACAACTCAGACGGCGGGGAAATTTAAGAAATCCGGAATTCCCTTGCCTAACAGAAACGTTTGCTTATGCGCAAGGGATTTTCACTGTGCCATAACTAGCGACCCCAGGTGTCCCGACTACCCGAAAACTTATAACACGCAATATTTTATATCCCCCGGCTTCGTCGTTATTACTACCAACTTCCCACCCTTCCATATCCTTCTCCCGTATCACCAACTCACAGAAGTACCGTGAAATTCCATAGCTCGCTACTGGCCCACCCCGTCGTGCGAAGGTTGTCAGTATCACTAGGCGCGCCGAGCTTCGGGAACTACCCGACAGGCCCGAACCGAAGTTGAACGACGATTGCACAACCTCCGCGTACGGCCTACCTCGGCGGAACCCGAGGCCTGTTACGGGCAGCACTGACATCTGGCTGAATCGCACGACCAATCTCGAAGACGAAACCAACGGCGATGGTGATTCCTTTTTCCTGTTGGCCTTAACGTTACACTTGTTGGCAGGGGCAATGTTGTTGGGATTTTGTTCGGGAAAGCAAGAGTGTTTAAATCTATTTGTAGTGCGATAACCGGAGAAGTGTCCCAGAAATGTAGTCGGAGATGCACTACGCATGCCATATGCCTTATGCTGCACGACATCAGCAACCTCCCCTCTGAGTATATCCCCTTTTGCACCTGTACCCCTAGAACTTGCCACAGGAGATCTCAGTTCCGACCTGGGACTCCTCCCCCACTTTCCTAAAATCCTTGGCACACCCCTTTTCGCACTTTCGGGCCCCCATCCCACTCCGATCAGGAAGTCACACTAGGCGTGAGGTTATGGGCGTCACAGCGCAGCAAACCTGAAGTACAGCCTCGGTGATGGCCACGGTATCCAGTCCTTTGACCGGGACTTGATGAAGCGTCTTCCTCCTTCACGCACAGATTTGCGCTCTCATTCTGCCCAATGCCCTCTCCTGATGACAACGAAAGAGCACGACCGTCATGGCCACCGCCTCGGTCGTCTTCTCGGTTGTCGTCAACTGCGCACGTCCATCGTCGCTGCCGCCCTCCATCGACACGTGTGTTGCAATGCTCATCAACTACGAAAATACAACAGCCTACGAACCATGGTAACCTCAACGCAAAGTCGCAGACCTGTGCTCGACTCCACACATACGTGCGGCGACAGGAGGAGGCAATGGCAATGGACCTTCGCGGGGCACTCACAAATTTGTGACGACTTATGATGACTCCACTGCGCCGCTGCAAATGCCCGTTTCCCTCGTCACCAGTATGGACGGCACCTGCCCTGCATCGCCGTTGTCACGTCCAGCACCCAATTCGAAATTTGATTTTCGAACGGGGAGGTCCATTGCTTTTTAAGGTGTTTTTTTTTTCCCGTCACCAGTGCCTTTCAAAATTTCCCGGCTTTGGCAGCTAGACGACACCGTCGTGAGTCAGACATCACCCAATGGACCAAGGCATTGCCCTCCCCGCGGTAGACTATAGTATTATGAAAATGGTCGCGGGGGGCCAAAAGGAATCATCCTCGGGAGACCACCCCGAGGATAGGTACGACAGCGGGAATTTCCTTCAAAACCCCGAAGGAAACTTCCTTCGGCCCCGAGGACGCCACAAGGAGTGTCTAACGAGCCCCTTTGACAGTAGAGGAACAAATGTGGGACGTCCTCCACAACATCCTTGCACATAGAGTCTATATGCCGGCTTTTTATGATGACCATTCTGCATTGGGGAAGGCCAAATGCACCATCAACCAAAGCAACCCTACTTGCCTCTGATCTGGAAGTGAAAAAAGGATTCTGAAAGAAATCTTGCCATTCGTCTTTTCCTCATGAGTCAAGTTTGCGGTCGGGCACCCATCCTCTTTTCCTCCATTGGTCTAGAAATTCCTCCCTTACATTATATGGACCAACTGGGTTTGATAAAGGGCTTTCGTGGTAACTTGGTGGAATGGTCGAGCCGTTTTGAGACTGATGTGGCGGGCATACACACCCCCAAAAGAGAGATCCTGTGAAGGGGTGCCAATTCTAAACGGATGGAGGTGCACTGGGCGGGTTGGGCCCTTATCATGCAGCACCACTACTAAGTAGACCTGCAATTCTTCCAGTAATAACTTTTCCTGCTGCTGTGGCGGGTGTGCCCAGGTCAGTGTGGCATATATATATATTCAAACAGAGCTGTCCGGTATATGGTTTACCGAGCAGCCCTGTTTGACGATATATTACCTACGGTTTACCGGTCTGGTCCGTTTGACTATATATTCCACGACTTCGCTAGCACCCTGCTACGGTTTTCTCCGGTCAGGTCGAGCGGCAGTGGTTGGGGCTGTCACTACGTGGTCATGCTGTGCATCCAGTCCCAACAGCGTGTTTGAAGTCTATTTTCTGGCTGTGACAAACCTTTCTTTGTTTCGTAAGTGTTTTATTGGTTTGTGATGGGGTCTGAACCTGCAATCTGTGGAGTTTTCCATCTCGTGTGGGTGAGTGATAGTCTTCTTTGATTTTCATCACAGGTACCTTGAGGGCAGTGTGCAGCAGACCTTCATCTGCCCTGGCCTACAACCAGGGCCTATTTAGCTATTTGCTAGTTCGGCATGTGGGACCAGGTCGTGGCCTGACCCCACAGGCCGTGCACTGTTTCAGTCCAGCCTCGTCCTGCCCGGTACCACTGTTGGTACCAGGCCAGTCCTGTCCAGTCAGTCCGCTGGGGGTATACCCCAGCCGTTGTCTGTTTTTTAACATTCTTCATTTTTGCACTGTTGGAGTACGTGCAGTGTTGAGTCTGTGTTTGAGTTGCGCTGTCCCTTCCAACTTCATCTCCACTTCCTCCTTCCTCAACCCCTTCTTCTCCATCCTGTCGGACCACTATCCCGGCAGGTCCGGTTCACTGGTATCAGAGCAGGCATTTCTCCCTGCTCCCCTCCCCCACCCACCCCCTCCATCACTTCCCACGTGGCTTGAGCAAAACGCTCGCCACTTCTACCCCCGTAATGACACCGGTGCACGTTTTGCTTCGTAACTTTTGCATCCGGTGTCCATTTATTCTGATCTTTGGCGTTTTGGAAATCTCTCGACGAGCCGCTTCCAACGAGCCATAAATTGCAAAATTCGGTATGAGTTTTTTTGAGCTACGCTAATTTAAAGATTGCAATTTGTTTTTCACTGACTCCAAAATTGCGCGCGCTCGTTTTTCAACAAGCGTTATTACTATAGGCCGCGGCTGATGCCGCACCATATCTCGTTAGAAGCGCCTTTCGAAAATCTTTCCAACGAGTTCTCTTTTGCTAAATTCCACTTAGCGGGTGAAAAGTTATGAGCAAAAGAGTTTTTCCCCTTCCCTTCCCTCTCCCCTCCCTTTCCCCATGGCCATTTCCAAAAGTGTCACTGACACTGTGTGAAGACCCCCCTGGCTAAGGGGCTGCTCTACAGCAGATCTGATTCATCTGATCAGATCTTCAGGCCTTGCTGGCAGCTTTTGCAGCAGTTGAAGACCCCCTTCTTCCAATGGGTTGTTTTGATTGCTCTTGGCCACCCAAGAGCTCGGTATCACCATCCTACCACTAACCCTTTCTCCCCTAACCTCTTTTCTCTCCCCCCCCCATCATCTAATCATCTTTTCTCCCCCCCCTACCACTGTTCTCTACTCCTACCTCCCTTTCTACTCATCTTCCACAACCTTTTTCTATCCTCTCCTCCCCACTCATCATCTCCCACTAATCTCATCTACTCCTCTCCACCTTTTCCATATCTTTCTCTCTCATTCTACCACCCTCCTCTCCTCCTTCCCTCCCCCAACTACAACCCCATCATCTCCCCCATCCCCCACTTTACTTTTCTTTCTCTTCTCACCTATTTCTCTCTTTCATCATCACTTTTCCATCCCCCCCCACCCAACTTCGAATTTTTTGTTTTTCTTCTTTTCTTTTTCTCTTTGATCTAAAATTTTATCTTTTTCCCCAAAAATTTGAATTCTCTTATTCCCTACTTCTTTTCTCATTTTCTTATTTATTTTTATTTTTATTTTATTTATTCTGAAAATTCGAATTCCCTTGCGGCACCCTCAAATCTGATTAGGAGTTAGTCATTCTTGTTTTCGGCACACATTTTGACCCCGTGGGGGTAACGAAGTGCTGCCGAAATTTTCTGTTTTTTCTTTACCTAGTATTTTTCAACACATTTTGACCTCTTGAGGGTAGCGTACTGGCCCAATTTTCCCATCTTACTTAGTCTTTTTCTTGACGGCACACTTCAACCCCATAGGGGTAACGAAATGCTGTCGAAATTTTTGAAAAACTCTAAGCCTCAATTTTTCTCTTCACTCTTCTCCACCTCCTTATTTATTTATTTATTTATTTATTTTTCTAAAAAATTTAATTTGTGGCATTTTGAAAGTTAGTGTGCTCCTCTTGTTTTTTCCTTCCTTTTGACACATTTTTGACCCCATGTGGAGTGGGAAAATGCTGCCGAAAATTCCAAAAAAATAAATATCATATTTTTTTTCACACTTTGTTTGTTTATTTCTTTCTTTATTTTTATTATTTATTTTTATTATTTTTATTTTGAAATTTCATTGTTTATTCTATTTTCTCTTCCCCTCCCCTCCATATTATCTTTTTTCTTGATTAGGTCGCCGCTACCCTCCCCTAACCACATAAACTCCGGTTAGGGTTTTCTTAGGGTTTTCTAGGGTTTAGGGTTCTCCTMCCCCCCCCCCCTCCTACTCTCCCGCCTCCTCCCGTCGGGCACCCTGAACCCGGACGGATCCTCCCCCTCGAGCGGTTCGGTGCCTTCGTTTCACGTACGACCCGCAAAATCCGAGTCGAGTCGACTTACACATACTCACTCCGCTCCCGAGGTTCCCTTTCTCTTACCGGTGAGCCTCTTTCCCCACACACTTCTTTGCGGACTACCTCCATTCCCCTTCCGGCCATGGAAGGGAGTTCATCGGATGAGATCACCGCGGCGCAGTCCACACCCAAGATCAGCGCGCCGTCAGCGGCTCATGATGAGGCCCATGCGGACACCATGAACCTTCATGTCGTCCTTGTAGCAATCCAGGCACAACTTAGTATGCTTGGACTGTTGCAAGCACAAATCAATGCGCTTGCCCTCGACGTCAATCGCCTCAAGGGCTCCCCTCATCGCTCTCCCTACCGTTCCCACACCCCATCCCCTACCGGCTCCGAGTCCGGCTCCCCACGACTCCAGAGACGACGACATCGTGGTTCCCCCTCCTCTGCGGGCCAGGCCCAACCCTCCCCCTCAGCAGTGACGAGTGCTGCTGCCGCTCAGACCACCCCGTCTGTTGCGACAATTCTCCCGGCCTCGGGCGCCCCTACCGTCTCTACTGCTGCCGCAGGTGCTGCGGTCCAGATACCACCATCTGGCCCCGCAGTTTCATCGACCCACCTCGGTGTTGCTTCCCAGTTTTCCGCACCGGTCGCGGCAATACGACTCCGCCCTCTTCTTCCCGCCTTCGTCCCCCTACCCCCACAACATGGTACCACCCAGACTGGGATTCCTCCTCCCACTTGGAGACCCGCTCCACCTCCTCCACTTTCGACTCCGCGCACTCAACGAGTGACCACTTTACAGGCCACCATTGCACAGGCTCAGGCGGAGATCCTCGCTTTGAGACAGCCTCACCCATCACAGGTTGCCCACCCTTCCTCCTCTACCACCCCTTCGGTCCCCATGATGCAGGCTCGTTTTCCTCGACCTGCTCCTCAGCCTCTTCCCTCCTATCTGGCTATTCCGGGACGGCTGCCCGCGGTCGTTGCCTCCTCGTCTGCTGGTTCATTCGCCAGCGGCCACGGCCCACAGCCTTCCCCCACCTCTGGCGCTACATCGGCCTCGACTTACGCCGCCGCAGTGCACTCGCCTCGATCTCTCTCCCCCTGCCATCAGCACAGTGGACATCCTCCTGTGCGCACCACGGACATTCCCGAGTATGATGGCACATCCCGTGTCTCTCGCTGGTTGCAGATAGCAACGAACACACTCTCTATGACGACCCCCTGTCAGGAGTTATGGTGCGATGTGCTCTCAACCAAATTGCGAGGTAGCCCTTCCACTGCGTGGGAGGATCATTATACCCAGCGCCTCCGCGTGGGTGAGGTCCCCACTCTGGTCGACTTCGCGGCCTTCCTTCAGGACCGCTTCGACGCTCGTCATGACGCCACCGACACCTTAGACCTCGTCACCCAGACCAGATGGTCCGGGTCCTCTGTACCAGCCAACTTGGAGCGTCACATTCGGGTGTTTCAGGACGCTCGCCTTGTCTGTGACGAGACGTTCCTACCGGAGGTCACACTCACTGACCTGTTCCTCGTCAGCCTGCCAACTGACTACCGCTTAGAGCTATGGAAGCGATCATTCTCTTCCGCGGAGCAGGCATACAAGGTTGCGTGTCAGTACCAGAGGATGTGCAGTCGCTTCTCCGCCGCCCCATCCTCTTCGCGGCCAGCCGCCACCTCCCAGTCTCGCGGTACCACCAGAGGTCGCTCCTCGTTTGCTGGTCGTTTTCGTCGCCCGGCTCGACCTGCAGCGCCATTCTCTCGACACTACAGTTCTCTCGAGTATGGAGAGGACGCCTCAACCGAGCTCGACCCTACCATTGGGGACGCCCCCAAGGACATCGAGCTTCGGGACGTCATCCAGTACCACTTGGATGACGACACTGTCCCGGTGGCCGAACGCCTGTAGATGGTCATGTCTGCCATGGGTCGTGTGTGCAGTCAGGTTGCACAGGCTGGCGCCCGCACACCCACGGTTCCTCAGATAGACCTCCCCCAGGGTTTTGTCCCTCATCGCGGAGCTCTATTCCCTGAGGAGCGTGCCGCCCTCGAGGCCCGTCGCGGCTGCCTTCGTTGCCGCCTGGATGGACACACCTCCTCACGGTGTCCATACCATACCGCCCTTGATCGACACTATGTTGACATCTCCCGTCAGCGTCGATCTCAATCCCCCCCCGGCCCCGCCCGACCAGCCCCACCCACCTAGCCATGGTGCAGTGTGCCACTGAGGCCTCGCACGTAGCCAGTTTCCCGATCACCGAGTCGCGGTTTGCCCCTTTGGCTACCCCACTAGAGGATCCTCAGGATACGACAGACGCAGTTCCCTCTGCCCCGTCGTTTGTCGAGGTACCGTCTGCCTCACAGCAGACCGCTGCATCTAGCGCTTCCCTCCCGAGACTCCCGACGCGTCGCGCCATTCGCTCAGCCCGTTGTAGCGCTCAACTGGCGACTCGCGATGACGTTGTGTCATCTCTCCTGGACTTGAGCATTCTTCAGGCTCGTCAGGAGCGACTCACGAGACACGTCAACGTCCTGCGTCGTCTTCTCGCTCTGCTTTCTGACCCTGATCGCACCCTACCCATTATCCCTATTCGCCTAGGGACATCTACGAGGGTGTACCGCGCTTTATGGGACTCTGGCTCGCAGGGAGATTTTGTTCACCCTCGAGTGGTTGAGAAAGCTCGCCTAGCTACCTCTGGGTCCCGCTCTCCTATCTCCATTACCCTCAGAGATAACACGACACAATGCTTCTTTGATCAGACGGTCTCCGACCTCCACTTCTCCCTCACCCTCCAGCCACCGGATAGTACCCAGGCGCCTCGGCGCTACCATTCCTCCGCATACTTCGACGTGCTGGAGACTGGGTACGACTTTATCCTTGGCACTCCCTGGTCTCGCCGGTCCCGTAGCACAGAGGCCGAATGGGCGACCGAGACACTCGTTCTCAAAACGAAGTGTGGTCAGACCCATCGCGTCCCCTTCATTGGAACCACGGGCGACACTCCTCCCGACCTACCTCCCCGGGACCCTCGTCCCTCAGGGTCTCACCCCGACATCGCCTTCACTTCCCCTCGTCAGTTTCCTCACTTCATACGACAGAAGGACGTCACGTTCTACTCAGTGAACGTCATGGATCTTCTTCGCTATGATCCACTCTGTCCCGAGGTTGAGCTCATCTCTCTGGAGCCCGATCCCCCTGACCCTTCCTCCATCTTCGCGGCTCGTATCTCTACGTCCACCCGTCAGCCTGCGGATACCCCCTCCACATCCCAGGCCCCTGTGCCGTCGACTGTCAAGTCCACACATACGTCTCGTGCCGACGCAGACGCTGAGGAACTCACACGGTTCACGACAGACTTAGAGTCGGCCGTTCGCGACCTGATTCGAGAGTACCGCGACGTCTTTCCCCCATATTTTTCATACAACGGGATTCCCCCTATGCGCGGTGTTGAACATTCTATCCAGCTCGTGCCTGACTATCGTGTTCACCACCAGGCACCGTACCGACTCTCGATCCCAGAGGCGACGGAACTCAAGCGTCAGCTTGAGGAGCTCCTTCGACTGGGTTTCATTAAACCTTGTAACTCCTCTTGGGGTGCACCTGTCCTCTTTGTTCGCAAAGCGGACGGAACTCTCCGCCTCTGCATCGACTACCGCGGCCTTAACCGTTACACTGTTAAGAACAACTATCCCATGCCCCGCGCGAATGAGCTGTTTGACCGTCTGGCAGACAACCGCTTCTTCACGAAGATCGATCTTCGTAGCGGTTACCACCAGATCCGCGTTGCCGCAGAGGATCAGCCGAAGACCTCCTTTCGGTCGCGCTTCGGCCACTACGAGTTTACGGTGATGCCATTCGGCCTCACCAATGCACCCGCCACCTTCAAGACGGCGATGAACGCCATCTTCAGGGACATCCTTGATGAATACGTTCTCGTATACCTGAACGACATCTTGGTCTACAGTCGTACCTTAGAAGACCATATCAGACACCTCCGCGATGTCCTACAGCGCTTACGCAAGCATGGTTTCTATGCCAAGCTCAGTAAGTGCCGCTTTGCCCAGCGCAAAGTGGACTTCTTAGGACACCATGTGTCTGACCAGGGTCTCCACATGGACGACGCGAAGATCATTGCTATTGCAGAGTGACCCGTCCCCACCTCTGCCAAGCAGCTTCGCAGTTTCTTCGGTCTCACTAGCTACTATACTATTTTTATCCAGAGATACGCTAGGTATTCCTACGTCCTTACCTTCACCCTCCTCCGGAAGAACCCACCGTGGTTTTGGACACCCCTGTGCGAGGACGCCTTTCGCGCCCTCAAGAAGGCGGTGACTTGTGCGCCGGTTCTTCGCCTCCCCGATTTTGATCGTCCCTTTATCGTCACCACCGATGCGTGAGATTTTGCAGTAGGAGCAGTCCTCTCTCAGGTGTTTCCCTCTCCTCCTGATTCATTTTATCCTCGTGTTCCTCCTTCCCCCCCCCCTCCTGCTGACACTGCTTTTCGACTGACGCCTATCCTCCTACCACTTCCCTCCACTGACAGTCCTCCCATTACTTACTCCCCGACCATCGCGGAGGATGGGACTGTTGAGGCTCGTGTCGGGGATTGCCCGATCGCCTTCTGCTCCGGTCAGCTACTGCCTGCCGAGATAAACTACACTGCTGATGAACGTGAGGTTCTCGCAGTAGTTAATGCTACCCGACACCGGCGTCATTACCTGCACGGGGCGTCGTTCACGGTGCGCACGGACAACTCAGTTGTCCAGACTTTCCTCACAAAGCCCAAACTTTTCCCTCGACAGACACGTTGGTGGCGTGACTTATCCGAGTTCATTTTCACCACTCAGCCCATCAAGGGTGAAACGAACCTCGTAGCCGATGCCTTGTCCCGCCGTCCTGACCACAATCAGGAACCCATCCATCTTGCCGCCATCTCCGTCACCACTATTGATCAGTCGGTGACCGACGCATATCGCACCCAGTACCGTCACTGCCTGGATTATCGCGTCATCCACGCGACACTGCGAAGTGGCAAGACCGTTCCCTCATACTCCCTCGGTGAGAACGGTCTCGTGTACTGGCATGGCAGATCTGGTCAGCTAGAACCACGTATCTGCGTTCCCTCCACCCGACGGCTCCGCGTCCAGGCTGTAGCAGAGTTCCATGACCAAGCAGCTGCCAGTCATATGGGTTTCCACAAGACGTTGGCTCGTGTTTGCCGCCTATACGTCTGACCGAAGTCCAAGGACTTCGTTAAAGCCTACATCCAGGAGTGCCCTACCTGTCAGGAGGTGAACAGTGCGAACCACCTTCCGTATGGGTTACTTCAGCCCTTACCCATACCCGAGGGTCATTGGCAATCCATCTCGATGGATTTCATTGGTCCCCTCTGCCCACCCACTGAGCGCGGTCATGATGTTATCTTGGTCGTGGTCGATCGCTTCACGAAGCGTGCACGTTTTGTCCCGTGCCGCTATCGCATTAGCACTCGTGAGATCGCCGACATCGTCTTCGACCGAGTCGTGAGAGATCACGGCTTACCTCAGAGTATCATCTCCGACCGTGACCAACGCTTTACCGGCACATTCTGGCGACGCCTACACGAGGTGTACGGATCCCAGCTCCGCTTCTCCTCGTCTTACCACCCTCTGACGGATGGTCGGACTGAGGTCACCAATAAAACTCTCGGTAATATCCTCTGAAAGTTTGTTAGGGATGACCAGCAGTGAGACTTACACTTAGCCCACGCAGAGATTGCGTACAACCACGCTGTTTCGCCAGCCACGGGGATGTCGCCATTCTATTGCGACCTCGGCTACCACCCTCGCGTACCCGCTGACTTCCTAAGACCATCGAGGTTGCGCCCAGACACCCGTTATCCTGCGCTTGGCGACTGGATCGCCCACATGGCGGCGATTATGAAGCGCGCACACGAGAGTGTAGCGGACTCCCAGACCCGCATGACCGCACGAGCAAACCGATCACGAATGGATCATCCATTCAAAGTCGGTGACGATGTGCTCGTTGACGCACGCCACTTACAGCTCGAAGCGGATACGCTTCGCAAGTTCAGGCGTCGTTTCCTCGGTCCATGCCGCATCCTTCAGGCAGTCGGTTCTAATACTGCCGCTGGTCCGGTCAGCTTTCGTGTGAAGCTACCTGATTACCTTCGACAGGCTCGTGTACACGATGTTTACTACGTCTCCTTGCTGCGTCCTTATCACAGACCGTTCGAGCGCTTCATCGGACGTCCGTATGAGCGCCCTCCACCTATCATAGTGGACGGTCACGAGGAGTTCGTTGTTTCCGACATCGTATCTCGCCGAGTTACCGACAACACGCCTCCACGCATCGAGTACCTTGTGCGTTGGAAGGGCTATCCTGATGAGGAGGCTACTTGGGAGCCCCTCGAGCACTTGGAGCACGCCCGGATGTTGGTGCGTGCATATGATCGTGCTCGTCGTGCTGAGACATCTGCTCCTACTCAGCCGACTGACCCTCTTCCTCCTCCTCCGACTGAGGACGAACGCGCTCCCTCTGAGGTCGTTCCTCAGCCGCAAACGGTCGCCTCCGAGCGTCCGCAACGCATTCATCATCGCCCTTCGCGTTACGATGACTGACACTCTTATCTTCTATCTTTCCCCACTGACTCACACCATCAGGTACTCCATCATCAGCTCTTCTTCAGGATGTCAACGTTTTGCGGCTCTGCTTCGACATCGACCTCGACTCCTACTTCATCGACGTCATCGACCACTTCGACGACTTCAGTCGCCTTCTCGACTTCAGCCATCTTATCGGCTTCAGCTACTTTGGACGTGACTACTTCACGCCACCACCCTACCCTGTACATTCCCTTGCATCTGTCGCATGATGACTCTCACTTAGCTGAATCTCTTTGAGTTGGGCTCTCTCTTGGTATCGCATAGGCATTGGGACCGTAGCGTTATCTTGGCTTCCTTGCTCCCAGATCTAGCTCCCTCCTCCCCCAGTCGGTGAGTTGTGTGCATGTTTCCCTCACCACTGCCCTCATCACCCTTTTGTCGGCCCTTGCATGCCTTCAGTTAGGCATATCTCCACCCTATTCCAGACTCCCCCTTTTTTCATGGTCGACCCTGCATACTGTCACCCTTTTGTCGAGCATTACCCGCCCTGATGGCCTATCTGTTAGGGTCATTGGTTTTGTTTCGCTACCACTCTCCCACCTTGAGCCTGATGACCTATCCCACCTTCATGTGTGACTGCCCTTAGGAGTTTCGATTCTTAGGCTGCATTCACCCCCTCTGAGACCATCCCACTCCTAGTGGTTCAGCGACAGGAGATTATCTTGTGCCATATTGCTCTTTTTCCTTTCAGCACTGAGGCAATTTCCTCCAGGACTTTAGGATTGTATATTGCTACATTTCAATTTTTTGCTGTTAGCTAGGACATGTATACCAGACATTTGCTTTTGTTTTCACATTATGTAGCTTAGGCTGCATCGCATGGACTCAGCATGGAGCTTGCTCCGCATCCTAGATTTCTCAGCTTTCTTTATTGCAGAGTTCCGCTGCTTTTGCAGATAGCGTGTTTATGGCTCTTGCGATCCATTACAAGTCTGAGGATCGTGCAGCGGGCCTTCATTTGCCCTGGCTTACAGCCAGGGCCTATTTGGCTATTTGCTAGTTCGGCCTGTGGGACCAGGCCATGGCCTGACCCCACAGGCCGTGCATTGTTTCAGTCCAGTCCTGTCCTGCCCGGTACCACTGTCGGTACCAGGCCAGTCCAGTCCAGTCAGTCCGCTGGGGGTTGTCTATTTTTTGGCATTCTTCATTTTTGCACTGTTGGAGTACGTGCGGTGTTGAGTCTCCGTCGGAGCTGCGCTGTCCCTTCCAGCTCCATCCCCACTTCCTCCTTCCTCAACATCTTCTTCTCCATCCTGTCGGACCGCCATCCCGGCAGGTTCGGCACACAGTGGTTGGTGCCCACCTCCTCAGAGGGGTATCAGTTACCGGGCAAGCACAACCGGGGTTAAGGTGGATGATCGCTTACAGTGTAATCAGTTAGGGGATTCTGCAGACTGTTGAGGGTTCAGCCTCCTGATGAGTCAGTGAAACTCCGACGAAACAGTTTGTCACAAGCCCTCGTGTGCTAACGCAGCCGAGTGTATATTAATAGTAGTATAAATTTATAAAACTTGAATAACAAAATAACAATAAAATATTTCTATTATTTAGTTTATAAATTTAATATTAAATTTATTTAAATTATTTAATGGTTCGTTGTTCAGTGTATTACAGTATTACTACTATTACTCACATTTCAGTTGGACTACGAACCGGCCCGGCTCACCTTATTTGCCCTGACCCCCCAGCCGTGCAAGGACTAGATAAGGTCCCAACAAAAAAAAAAAAAAAAAAAAAAAGTCTGAAAAACACTATGTTATGCAGAAAAATAAATTGAGCAACTTTTGCCTCAGGGGCAAGGGTTGGTGGTAACTTTGGATGAATAGAGGACATGATCAAGTAGCGCTGACCGCTGGTTCTTTTCTGTTGTTTTGATTGCCTTTTGCGTACGGTTTTCTTCATGGTTGGTGGAATTTGGGTCACTAAATTAGGGTTGTCACGACTGTTGTGATTTGAGTTTCTTGGTGATGAACTTAGATTGTGCTGATAATTTTCATTGATTTTTCAGTGGTAGGGGCTGTGGAGTTGGTTGTGGAGTTGACTGTGGGGTGAAATCTTGTGGTCCCTCCATGTGCTTGGCCGGTGATGCCTTGCCCGCTGAGGGCCCCATCTAATTTTGTAAGAGACACCGGGCCCAGTTCCCGACTCTTAAAAGGACTTGTACTCTTTCTCAAAAAACGAGAAAAAATAAATGCTTTACCAAAAATATATATATATATATAGGGTCACCAGCCGTGTGTACGGAGGTCCCCGGACCGACCTCCGTACGTACGGGCGTTCGGGGTCCGAACCCGACGGTGTTCAACCCCCGCCAAAAATTAATTCGGGGCCTAAAAATAAGTTTTGTTTTCTGAATTTTTTTGGTGAGTTCTCTATGATGTAAGGTACACGTCTATAAATTTTGAAGTCATTTTGCTAAGCCAAACAAAAATTAAAAATCGCCAAAGATGGTGGTGTCAAAACGTGCTCGCCCACTCACTATCTTGTTCTTTTTCACTTTTTGGTATTTACTTTCT